GTGTGTGTGTGTGTGTGTGTGTGTGTGTGTGTGTGTGAGTGCATCTGTGCATGTACTGGGGAGGGGTGAGATCACTCAAAGGTAAAGGGGTCCTGGGTGCTGAAAAAGAAGTGTCCATCCATGTGGTCCTCCAGGGCATCCTTATCACTCTCAGCCGGAAAGCGCTCCTTACAAATAGGGCACTCCTTCCAAGGGGGGGTGGCAGGGCCCCCGGTGCTGGCCTCTGACAAGGGTCCCACTGCAAAGCCACTGAAGGAGACAGAGGGGAAGGAGAGGGTCAGTGTGCTCCGATGCCTTCTTGCCTTGTGGACCTCAGGGACAGGGACCCATGCACCTGGCCTTCCAGATTACCCTGTTCCTGGCAGCTCTCTCTCCTAGTCTCACCCCCAGCATCGTTCTCCCCACACTACTGGAGCCTTAGTTTCCCAGCTCTCCAGGCCCTCTCTTCTTTAGTCCCCGCTGGTCGCCGCAGTAGTGCACAGCCCATCCCCCACCCCTGCGCTCCTCCCTCCATCTCCGTCTGCTGCCTAATGAGGCTGAAAATGAGTCTGACATCGTCCTTCATCTTCCTGCTCCAGCCGAGAAGGATGACAGCATCGCCCCCTCCCTGCCCTGAGCCCATCTCACATCGAGGCAAAGCTGGGGGCTAGATGATAAAATCTCTCTTCCCCCTGCCTTCCCCTCTTGACCTGCAAAAGAAAAGGGAAGGCAGAAGGGGCGATCTGATACCTGAATCCCCCACCCCTGCAGCTGCATTGCCCAAAGGGTCTCCCAGGAAAGTCAGGGAAGAAGGACAACATCTCAGGGGTGGTCAGATGCTGGATCCCGGTCTTCTCTCTGTTCCCATCCCTGGGGGCACTGGTCACCTCCCTTCCTCCCCAGATGGAGCCTAGGTACCTACCTGGTGGTTGGGGAAGGGGGAGGGGCAGGAGAGAGGGGATGCAGGGCAATTTGGGCTCCACGGAAGATGGTGCTAGAACGACACAGAAGCCAGTTAAAGGCAGGGCCTCTGAGTGCACGTGTGCATTGATAAGATGGGGGGAGGAATTACCTGATGGCACCTGGGACTTGGGGTGGTGGGTGGTTTTCTGTGTCAACCACTCCTATGTCTCCTCTTCTTGGCTGGGGCCAAGAAGAGGGAGCTTGGGGGAAGGGCACGGGGACTGTTCACCCGGATGCCCTTTCCACTGGCATGCTCCCACCTCCCTCGTGTTCTCCCCCTTTTGCACTCACCTGGCCACGTCATAGAAGGCATTGCCCAGCTCAGGAAGCAGCAGGTGGGCCTCCTCACCTCCACTCTGAACAGCTGCCATGAGGACTGACTTCTCATCCTCGGCCTCCTGGGTACCAAAGAGATAGGGATGGGTTTGGGGGTAGCGTCCCAAGATAGGGGAGCAGCATGCTGGGGGAGGTAAGAGCAGTCCAGGCCCAGACGGTAGACTGTGGGCTGTAGTAAGAGTGAGGCAGGACAGGAGTTTTGATGGGGGCTAGTGGGTAAGAAGAGGAGGAGTATGGGGGGCAGGGGCTGGCAGCACTGGGGTTACTGGGTCGGACTGGATTTTGGGGCGGTGGCCCTGAAGAGAGGCTGGGCCTGCCTCCTCTCTCCCAAGGGGAAAGCAGAGCCCTGTACGGCTAAGATTAACACTTCCTTTTCCGGACACTGGGCCGTTGGGTGTGGCCGTACCTGCCCCTTCCTCCCTAACCCTGCTCTGTCTCCCACCACCGCCCCCGTCCACACACAGCTCACCGAGTCAGAGCTACTCTCTTCAGCTGGCCCTGAGAGGTGGGGAGCGATGGGAGCCGGCTGGCTGATGACGACCAGGGGAGAAGACTCTCGTGGCCCAGCAGGAGAAGAGCCTGTGTCTCCACGCTCACACAGGCCATAGGGAGGGACCCTCATGTCTTCTGGGGACTCGTCCTCTGAGTCTGTCAGAGCCGCTGGGCAGCCTGTGGGTGAGGGAGAGGACAGAGAAGGATGAATCGTTAGAGGCTTGGCTCAGCTATCTCCCTTTGGATGAGGGATATGGTTAAGCTAGACAGGGGCCAGGGTCTGGGAAGGAAAAAGGCAAAACACAGAGGGCAGAGGCAGCTCCCAGAGGGGTCACATGCAGCTTTCCCCAACGGGGGAAACAGGCGGGGGAAGAGGTGTCACAAGACTGGGGGTGTACAGACTCGGGCCCACAGCCGCCTCCTCATCCTCTGTGACAGCATCCTCGTTCCACTTCTCGTCTGCCACCTTCTCCAGGCGGGCCTCCAGCTTCCTCATGTACTCTAGCAGTTCCTGGAGTTGGGAGCAAAGACGTGAGGGAGGCTGGGAAGACGCCAACCCCGCTGCCTGCAGAGCCTTCCTTGACCCAAGAGGAACTCTGAGCTCCTCGGGACTGGATGCCTTCCCCAAAGTGGGCTGTGGTGGGGGAGGGGTGGGGTGGGGAGGCAGCTCAAAGGAGAGCCTCACTCCCACCCCCGCCCCCAGGAGCCCTCCTTCACCTCTCACATCCCTCCCTCGCTCCCACAGTCCTCCCCTGTTCTGCCAAGTCGACCAGTGAGAGGAGCCACGTTCCCATTTTTAGCCTCCGGGCCCTCTTAGAGTTAGCAGTTCTTAAGCCAAGAGATGACAAGAAGACATGAGGTTCCCCCCTGAATCCTCAGCTCTGGCATCCAAGGGGCCCGAGTCCTAGGTTCTCACCTGCTTCTCCTCCTGCAACTGTTCCTTCTCCTTCTGGAGCACGCGCAGGGCTGACCGCAGCTCTGTGAGCTCCCGCTTGCTCTCCGACAACTGCACCTGAGGGAATGTGGAGCCTAGAATGTACCTCCAAGAACCTAGGCTCTGTGACCTGGAACCACCAACCTAGAATCATGCTCCTCTGTGCCCCGGTCCCTCTCTTGCCCTGACACACACAGGGGAAGCCCCAACACTCTTCTTCGATGAGTCCCTTGTCTTGACCACAGGAGACAGTCGCCTGGGTCCCAGTCTCTGCCTCTCCAGTGGGGGCCTGGGTGATTGCCTTTGGCTGGGATACAGAGGCCCTGGTCACAGCCGGGGCATTCTAGAATTCCCTTACGTCATCGCTATGAGGCCCAGAGTATTTGCCATGAGAAGAGAAAGGGACATTGCACATTTCAACCCAATGAGACCTGGGATGTGTGCAAGTAAGATGCCATTCAACATATAAGTGAGCACCCAGCACTTCTGAGCTGACACCCAGGACAGAGAGAAGGGCCACTGATGTCTCAGGAGGTGACAGGAGCAGGACTCATGGGTGGCTGGGCTTCTCACCAGGCTAGAATCCTTTTCCCGGGCTAGTTCAGTCTTGAACACTTGATTCTGGGTCTTCTCCTCCTGAACTGCCTTTTCCAGTCGAAGTATCTCTGCACTTAGCTTCAGGATCTTATCTTTCTCTGCCTGGGATGCGGCCGAAAAGGAACGTGGGAGGGGAAAGGTGAAGGAAAAGGGACACCACTGGCATCAGCCCCATCCCTCGCTGTGTCCTTTCCTTTCTTTCAATGAGTATTTTGGGAGCAATTTCTCCTTCTTGGCTCCCTCATTCCTGATACTTCTCAATGAAGGAAGGGACATGCCAGCAAGGTGCCTTGCTGATCAGAAATGGGCATCACGACAGGGCCCGGTGCCTAGGGCAGTAAACGTTTCTGAATCAAGGTGGTAACCAAGGAAGGTGCTACGAAGATCAGGACTGGGACACCCTACTTACGGATGGGTCATACTTGGGACAGTGAACTGTACCTCCCTCAGAGCCCCTCCCCACTCCTGAGTCCTCTAAGCTTCTCATCCCTGTCTCCCTTCCCAGGGGATCTGACTCCATGGAGGTGGGGGCAGTGGCTGTGAGCCTGCCAGGTTCCCCCCGTCCCTCTACCTCCATACTCTGCAGCAGCCCCGCCCGCTCCTTGCTCCATTGGCTTTTTTCCTCCTTCAGGTGCAGGCTGAGCTCAGCCAGCCTGCCATTGACTCCAGCCACTTCCAGGCGGCTGCGGTGTAGCTCCGCCATGGTGCGGTCCCTGGCTCCCGCTGTGCTGGCCAACTCCTCCCCAAGAAGGGTGGCTTTCTGCTGGCTTGAGGCTGCGAGCTCCTGGGCTCCTCGAAGCTGCTCCTTTAGGGGCTCCAGCTCAGCCTCAGGAGAAAGAAGGAGATGGAGATTAGGGCTCCCAGTGAGTCATTCTCGAACCAGGAAGGTAACTAGGGTCCCTGTGACCCCGCACCGCAACAAGGCTCACGATTTATATTGTTCAATCTTTAGCCATGTCTTTTCCCTAGCTAGCCCTTGGTACTTCCTCTACTTCTCGCTGCCTAGGGGCTTCACTCACCACGCGCTGCTGGGCCTGGCCTAGGGTGTCCTTCATCTGGGCCACCTTGTCCTTCAGTCGCTGGGCCTGGGCACTCTGCTCCTCCTGCCGGCCCTTTGCTTCCTGCAGCTCCAGATTTAAGCGGCGGTTCTCCTGTTGTGCCATTTGGAGCTCAGCCTGATGGGAGGTGGAAAATAGGTAAGGAAAGGGGTATATGTATTTGGGGTGGCTGGCAGGGGCCGAACCACTGCGATGAGAGAGATCAAGGTTCCGCTTCCCAGATTTAACACAAACTCAAGCATTCAGCTCTCGTCAGCCCTTCTTGGGGTCTCAGCTCAAAGCGACTCAGGCCTGAACATCCAGTCTCCAGCTCCCATAATGAGGTACCGGCATCACAGCCTTGATGGGGTCTTACACGAATCTAGGTATCCCCGTGTACCATTTCTGCTTCTCCACTCTTCCTTTCATTATTATTAATTTAAAAAAAAATTTTTTTTTTAACTTTTTTTATTTATTTTTGAGACAGGGAGAGACAGAGCATGAACAGGGGAGGGTCAGAGAGAGGGAGACACAGAATCTGAAACAGGCTCCAGGCTCTGAGCTGTCAGCACAGAGCCCGATGCGGGGCTCGAACTCACGGGCCGCGAGATCATGACCTGAGCTGAAGTCGGCCGCTTAACCAACTGAGCCACCCAGGCGCCCCTATTATTAATTTTTTAAAGAAGGTTTTATTGATTTTTTAGGTAACCTCTACGCCTAACATGGGGCTTGAACTCACAACCCCAAGATCAAGAATCGCTTGCTCCACCAACTGAGCCAGTCAGGCGCCCCTCTGCTCTTCCTTTTAGATCAAAACTCAGTCTGGATGTCCATGAGGCCCTCAAACTCAGCATATTCTACTTCCCAGTCCACTCCTTTCCACTCTTATTTCTGCCCATGCTACTAACTACTTCCTAAGTCACTCAGGCTGGATCCCTTGGTGCTGGGCTTGGCTCTGTTCTTTCCTTAGTGACCCCAAGAAAAGCCTTTTGCTTCTCCATCTTCTGTCTTGTTCACAGCCATTTTCTCTTTTCTACTATCACAGCAACCACGTTGACTCAGGATCTGGTCATTTCTGACTTGGATTATTGAATAATCTCATAACTAGTTCATCTCCCAGGAAGAAATCACATTAATCTTCTGTTAAGTCCGGCCTAAGTACATGTCACCCCCTTGAAAATCACGGATGCCTCTCATTTGCTTACAGAAGAAAGACTAACTCCAGATCCTCTCCAGTCTGACCTGGGCCTCATCTCAAACCCTCCACCCACACTTTCAAGTGCCCCGAGTGTTCTGGACTCTCAGCCTTTGCACGTGTCTTTCTCAGTTCCCAGAATGGCCTCCCTCTCATCTCTGTCTACTCAAATCCTACCTACTCTTTACTGCTGAACAAATGGCTTTCAAATACCCTTCCACGGAAGCCTAGGGTTTGGAGGAAGCTGCTGAGAGATTCTGCAAATATGTGATGTGAGCTCCTTCCAAATAATTCAAAAAATATGTGAGAAAAACAACATACAAGCTCACAAATTAACACAATGGGGATCATCAATCCATTGACATGTGCTTCTGAGTTAATTCACTTTTTTTTCAGGTTAATTAATTTTTCTGTACAAACCTCAGAATAAAGTTCCTATTGGATTTTCTTTTTGTTTGAAAAGCAAACTGAGATGGCATGGTGGACAGTTTAAAAATTGCTGTCATTTGCACTTACTTATTTGGAGACTCAAGGTGTTCTTAGTATTGTACAACCAAAACTCAATACAGAAACATATTAGCTGCTGATGCTGACAGAATAGTTACCTGTAACCTCTGATTTCAAGGTTTGGCATCCATCAGAATTACCTGATTACCCCTTTTGTTACCTTATAAGTTAACATTGTACATTTGAATTTTTAAAATTGGGGTGCATGGGTGGCTCAGTGGGTTGAGCATCTGACTTTGGCTCAGGTCATGAGCTCACGGCTTGTGAGTTTGAGCCCCACATCAGGCTCTGTGCTGACAGC